CCGAGACGTCTGCTGCGAAATGTCATCTGTCTGCATGAGAGGAATGCCGTATGGAGTACCGGAAACGCTAATACAAAGCATCGAGGTCCGAATGGAAGGGCGCCATGTGTGCACTAGTGGCCGTGTTTTAGGTGGTGAGGCATCTACTGATGTCGAGCCAGTGCAGACTCGTCAGTGCCATGGTTCACGCATTGATGGTCCATAGATCTTGGGGGTGTGTCAGGGCGCCGATTTTGCATGCTTTCGTGGACGAGAAGAAGATGCGCCGACTTTGATCCCTAGTATTGGACGCGAATTGGAAGTAGGGCTCTTGGTGAATTAACGCTGGTGGCGTGTTTCGTGAAGATATGTTGATCAGAAGAAGAAGAAGAAGAAGAAGAAGAAGAAGAAGAAGAAGAAGCAGGATAATGCCGAAGTGAAAAAGATATTGTTGGATAAAAGCTGCTGATGTTGGTATTTCAAGTAGTTAAACAACTCGGGTTTGGATTCGTCATGACGCTTTGGACAGTTGTGCTGTGCGGAGAAAACGCGGTCACTCATCTGCAGTAAGCGACAACACTTGTGACGGCGGTTGGGCAAGGTTGTGGTTGCCCCAGATCTCATGCAATGGTGGCGGTTAGTAGATTGGTTGCGTGTTTAGGGCATTGTAAAGTCGCAGTGGATGGGCCATTGAAGACATTATTCGAGCACTACTCTAAGGTGAGCCGTCGTGTTGGGAGATTGTGTCCACCGACTGGGTGCTGCACATTGCCCACTGAACAGCACCGTGGACTCACAACATGTAGGCGAATTAATGAAAGGCAATGCACTTTTCATTAGCGTTAAGACACGCAGGTGGTTAGCATTAAGCCAGTTTCACAAGGCGCCAGTAAGTTAGTAGACATTGGTCAGGTCGACCATAAAGCAATCGAGTGGTGAATATGCTGGAATTGCTTGGTTTTCTACTTCCCGTGAGGCATGTGCATTCTTCGACAAGTGTTTCCCAGTGAGGATGTTTTGGTGGTAACGGGGTTGAATCAGTCGGTGGTATGATTTATTTTGGCATGAATTTCAGTCACAACACACGTCATGGCACCGTTGTGAGGCGCAGCCAACCATGTGTGTTTTGTGAAGAAAGAGGGAATATTTGGGAAGCAGTCTAATTTGCCCACTCTTCCACGAGCGTCAGCCTCTCGACGTGGACCAGTGGGGAGGTGCGACCGTTCAAGAGGTCGATGGTCGTGCGTGTGCACAGATGCGTGATATCACCACAGCCACGTGGAGCTTGGCGCATGCGCGCGCAAATGGGCAGACTGACGGCGTGGTGAAACTAGGGTTCAGGCAGGGCAATCAAAAGGCAGTGTTTTGTTGGCGAAATTCAGACTGCTGATGTAAATTCAGACGCAGGTATCGCAGGTCCGAGAATCGGGAGTGGTCCAGCTTTTTTACCAAACATGCGGGCAAGAGGTAGTCGTGCATGTTTATAGGCCATAATTCACTTGGCTCGCATCCGGTAATATTTTGTTTGCGAATGCACAACCCTCGATGCACTATATATTAGTATCTGTAGTTTGGCGCGCCTCGTGATTTTATGAGAGGGTTTTGTGGTCATGGTGAGCCCGCCTGCTTCACATGCCTGCAAGTTGCAACAGGAAGTAGGTGTCAGATGGGGTGCAGTGTAGGTCCTGGTGATGAAGGAACGCACGAGTCTAGTGGTCTGCGTGTCTGCCCAAACAGGCCAAGATTGCTGAAGTGGAACCTCGAATTGTCATGGGTGTATAGTGTGTCTACACCACAAGGCAGTAGCCGAAGTAGGATAATTTGATTGTGGCGCTATTTGATTGCCTACAAACCCAGCTACGATCTCGGCTAGTTAAAAGAGGTTGTAAGGTAGTGTGGATAATTGGGGAGAAGTGCGAGGATGCGAGTGTTCAGTACACACCGAAGTGGTTTGTTTGTGGTTGCGTGAGTTGAAATGTGCAGCCCAGAGAACATTCCGATGTGGTGTTGGTGTTAAAAGCCACAAACCCTTGAAGCGCGATTCTGTTGTGGGTACTGACTCTCATTCTGCTTGTAATGCCATACTTGGGTTGAGTGCAGTGTGAATTCTGATTATCCCACTGGCGCCAGCCACAAGTGAATTGGCTTCCTTATCAGCGTGATTGATCTCTGCAGGCACTTAATTTGCGGGTGATGATGAGACATTCAAAGCCGGGGAATAAGAGACGATGGAGATTCTAACTGTAACATTAGAGTGAGCAGTAGTAAAACAGGAACCTGAATAATGGGATGAGGAGTAAGAGTGAAGTAGAAAGAATGCACACGGGGGTGCCTGGTCCAACACCCGGCATTTGTTCTACTTGTAGCTGCTGCTTGATGGCTGTTTCGTTTTGTGTGCCTTTTTGGTGTGCAGGTCCTGCGTTATCCCTCCCCTCGAAGACGACCTCGGCGGCCTGTCGTCTGCCTTTGTGAGGCTCCAGTCCCTGCGGAATTGCCCGAGCACACTGAAGGTAGAAGACGTGTTGGAGAGTTTTCATCCAGCCATGAAGCCCACTCGGTGCAAGCTTTGTTACAATTGAGTGCATTTTGTTCAAAACTGTCCTTTGGCCATCTCTTCCTATTGTCAGGGTGTTTTCTATGCCTTTAATATAAGAGTATTATTATGAAAGCCATCTTATCGTACTTTGGAAATCGATCGCAATGTTGAGCAAAGTTCAGTGCTAAATGGGTTATTCTGAATCACATTAAATTTTGTTCTTCGAAACTTGGAGCCTTGTGCATTCGTTGTCATGCTCCGTTTCCGTCTTGCGTATGGCTGAGCTGTGCTGGTTTGGTGCGACGTTTCTAGTTGCGCTTTTGCTTTGTGTTCTGACAATATTTGCAAATCTAGTTTGAGGATGCAAGTGCTACCAAGGTGATTCCCTACGAATTGGCAAAGATTTAAAAGCTAACGTAACTTAAATGACTTCTGGCCAAAAGGTGCGATTGGATTTGCGCGTTTTGATTGAATTTAAGGTTGGAGCGAGTGATAAATTGCATTGATAATCTTGTCGTTCTTTTGCAAAACACCGTCAAGCAGCACCGAAACCAGATGACCACAAAGGTCTGAAGTGCAGTGTCTATGCACGATGAAACCATGTGGTGGTGGTGGTGGTGAGTGATTTGCTAAAGGATGCCTTCAGGTCTGAGCTCTGGAAAACCGCCTCTTGGCAACTTCTTTGGTTCGAATCAGATGTTACTGAGTATTTGCATGCGTTTAATTCACCGTGGCGCTTTTTGGTTTCTTCATAGAGAGAACCGACCGCGATGCTTGTTGCTATCTTTCTCGTGCAAAATTCAACAGTTGAGGTGATTTGGTAACCAAATGTACTAAACGGAGGCTTGACCAATCGGAGCCACTGGTGTACATTTTGCAGAAGCAGAATTGTTTCATTCCTTCCGTACTTGAGAAGTGTTGCTCTGCGACTGGACATTTCAATTGGTAATCTAACCGAACCATTGTCTGTTCTCTCGGACACTCGTTTATCCGATCGAAACTGAATTAAACGTAGAATATCACCAGCATAATTAACGAGGATGCACCAGAAGATTTGACAAATCAGCCATGTGATTCCGGGTCGGGTAATGCAGTGACACCGCACCCCACTGTGACTGGCATGTTTCATCCATGCGAGATTGCACTAGAGCAGGCACGGTTAGTTGACACGCATTGGCTGGTGCTTAATCAGGCCAGTTATTCGGCAACTGTACGACCGTAATGGTAGAGCACAATGTGGTCATATGTTGAAGAAGTGAGTCGATTAGTCAAGGGTATATCACCTAAACGGTGTTTTGTCTGAAACCTACACCTGTGATTGTGATAAACGGTAATAACAACACCAGGCTCACATCGATTGCATTCGAATTCTGTCTAAGATTGATTTGCATCCTATCAACCTCGTTTTGGTATCTTTTCTGCCAGGTCGTCACACAACCAAGTTGAGCATATTGGTGTCTTCGGAACATGGAATTGAGAAGTTTGATTTGGGAAAATGACAGTTAACATCACTTGCTGGTACCTCTAAAGCGTCTCCTCTTGGGCCAGTCACTGTGTGTAGCAAAGAAAAGACCTCGGAAAATGTTTGAATGAGGCCACCACTCACCATTACAATGCGTTCGCTTACGCAAACGTCATGTTCGCAGATTTGCCGACACAAAGCTATCCGTCATTACTAATTAGCTGCAAGCGAATTTCTTAAAATTTTAGAGCTACTAAAATGTAACCCTCACCAACACAAACAACGTCAGCAAAGGAATGCCATGTGCTCTTGATGGTTGAGTTGGCAGCTAAATGTCAACCTGCACAAATACTGGTGGCAGTGTGTGCGATAGGGAAACCTCTATAATAAACCACTTCTGGACGTCAGATTGCACGTATTGCAGTTTCAACAAGGCACAACTGAACGGACACATGGGTTTAATTACCTGCTGGGAATCCTGCATTCCCCCAAGACGACTCATCGCGGGTTAGGACTTTGTTATTGCTTACTTAATTTCCCTAACGACGCCGCTTCAGTGAGTGAGTCACCCACTAGACCCCACTGACGGCCCCATACTTATTAATCCGCCTTCATCACCCAGGTCAAGGTCAACTTTGACTTATATAAGTGGGCACATTCAGACGTATCACTTAGTCTTTGTCTGAGAGGTTCTACCTTGTCATATACCAGTGTGGGAAGGTGGGAGCTAGCGTCAAACACGGGATCTGGGGTACGGGTTTTCTGGGTGTGTGGTTTTTTAGTGGGCAAAACGCAACATTACCTAATAGCCACAGGAGCACCTCGTGTTTCGAAAGTCTCGTTCAATGTACTCACGTTTAAAATGGAATTCGCAAGAGGATTCTGCGTGACTAATCAACAGCGTCCGTAATTCACTTGAACATTTAGTGCCAACACGAGCGGTTGAGCACGAACATGCCACGCGAGAATCAATAATAATGGTCAAATGGCTGTGGTGTACGGCATTGCATTCTTCTGCAACACGAGTGAAGCATCTTGCATCTGCCTAGAAAAGTGATGAAATTCTCTTCTTTTAAACACACCCCCTCATTACTTTATGGTTTACTACCGGTCACCATGTTTTACTCTCATGTTTGCATCGTCATTCAAAAGTAGAGGCATTTGAGCCAGGTGACTCGCATTGAGAAGATCCATTCGTCATTCATGTGTGGTTGGGATTCAATGGACGTTAAGGCACGTAATACATCCCAAATGCTGATGAATCCACACTTCACTGAGACAAGTATATAGTCGAAACCACGACGCATTAATGTAGTTTAAAAAATTGTACACCCCACGCCGCCTGAGGATGCGAAAGACAAAATGAATGTGCTCGATTTCATGCAAGTTGGAAAAGATTGAAAAGACTAATTTTGGCAGTTCAATCAGCTGAGTTTGAAAGTGGCCTTACCATTCGGCCTCACAGTAGATTTGTGTCTCGTCAATCAAGAGTGCTGACAGCAGTGTATGTGTACAGCA